CGCCGGGGGGAGGGGGCGGGCCGGGCGCCCCGGGAGCGGGTGGACCGGTGGGGGCGAGCGCGGGCGGGGCTGGAGGGAGGGCGGGAGAGGTAGAGTGCGGGCTCCAAAGGCCCCGCCCCACCCGGGTCCCACCTCTGCAATCCGCGCAGTGGGGTGTGTGAGGACGTGGGGGCGCGCCTGCAAAAAAAAAATAAATAAATAAAGTGAACCCTTTCCCTAGGCGCTCGCGATCCCCGGGTGCAGGCAGCAAGTGCTGACACCCTCCCTCGCGCCGGCGCATCCAACTTTTCTAACCTGGGGCAGGGACGGCGTGGGGTCCACATTTTCAACCTAGGGCCCACGGTGGTCAGAGGTTCCTTATCGTGGGCAAATAGCTCTGCCAAGACGTATCTTTGTTCTATTGCGATTTTTACTTTTGTTTAAGAATCTTCTTGGAAAAAAATAAATACCTACGTAGTGTATGCATATTGCACGAATACACTCGAGTACAATTTTTCACATCTCAGAAGAATCTGGAGTAAAAAGACCGTATCGCACGCCCTCCCCATGGCAGGCTAGCCTCCGAGGTAACCTCCGGTCAGAGCGTGCTCCGCTGCGGTTCTTTCCAGTCCTCGCTCTGTGCTTTTACACGCACACGCATAGATTGCAGGAGGAAACTCACCGGCTTCTCGAAAGAATGCTTCTTCATGCAGCGCACGCACATAGTGGAGAGCGCGGCAGAGTCCGCAGCGGTGCATCCCCAGGGGCTCGCCGCCACGTGTAAATTTGAAACTCCAGCTGGGGCGTGAAGTCAGCCGGGATACAGGGCTCATGCCCAAATTAGCTCTGCACACACAGCGCTGCCAGGACATTGTAGACAGGGTTATGACCTTTCCGTTTTTTACTGAACCAAGTGACTTGAATTTTGATATGATGAGAAGTCTGGATTTACAAAAATGAAAAGGTATCGTCCATATTAATAACACAATTATTTATGCTGTGGTCTTGAGAGATGTGGTTTTTAACTCAATGTTCTGCGTTTTATTGGCCAAGTATATTTGAATAATCTATAACTGAGATATAAATAAACTCCACGTGCCTTGGCAAGATGGGATTGGATGTTGCAGATGGCTGGTTTCTATAATTGTTCCCGACCTTAGACAAATCTTTTAGGTCTGCTGGGCCTCAGTTACCTTGTCTATAATTATGTAAGTCGTTCAAGAAACTGGGTGTGTGTATTCCAGCCCTAACGTTTTTCACTTCGTTTTCACATTCCAGCCTACATCCTCTGCTTAAGGGAGGCTCCCCCCACCCCATAAGGAGGCCTCAAATTCCACGCCTTGCTTTCCCAGCACTGACATCATCCTGTAATTACCCATCATGTGTGGCCTTCTCATCACATATTAATGGTCAGGGCAGGGATCACCACCTGGGGTCATCATGGCCGCCCCAGAACTCAGTACAGATCCTAGGTGCTTGACACCTAGAGATCTTTGAATATCACTTAGTCTTTTTTTTTTTAATTGTTTTAATGCTCTTCCAAAATGCGTGGCATTTCACAAGATCTATCTCCTTTTCAAAAGCCATCTCTGAAAATCCTCTGCAGGGTTTTTCCACTGTGGAGGACAAAGAGCCCACTTCCTTAGAACAGGACAAATAATCTAAGGGGTTGGTATAGGTTCTATTATTATTATTATTTATGATCTTAGCACCCAGGAAAACAAGGACTAATGCTACTCATTACAGACTCAGTTGACTTGAAACTCTACACAGTTACAATACACACAGGAGTACTTGGGTTTAAATAAGGTCATGGGGTGAGTTTAGGGTGCCAATTAACAACTGTGTATGCCTTCAATGAACAATCTAGAAACAGTCCTAGACTAAAACCCTTGTCTTTCTTTTGCTGCAAAGATCCTGTGTTCCTTAGGAATAGGAACAGCATAAATAGGTTAGCTTGGGATCAAAGTTCATTCTTTGTTTCTGTCTCTGTCTCTGTCTCTGTCTCTGTCTCTGTCTCTCTCTCTCTCTCTCTCTCTGTGTGTGTGTGTGTGTGTTTCTCTCTCTCACTAAGGCAAGGAAACAAATGTCTAAGGGCAGCTGATATCTACAGACTTTTTGTGTGTGTGTTGAGCCGAGTTAGTCGAGGGAGGGAGAAGTTAAAATCCAGCCCCACAGAAGGACAGCTGGTGTTTCTACCCGTTCCCGGCACTCTTTCCTCTCTTCCCTTTTGTTAGAAGGGATGCTTGCTGGATGCGGTGTGGCCAGGTCTCACTTGCACAGCACTTGCTGCGGCCGCTAGTGTGTGAAGAGGAAGCGGCGGCGAGAAGCCTTCTTCGTTGGCCAGCCTCTCCAGGCCTCCGCGGGTTGCAAGCCTGAGCCTGGGAAGGCGGCTCTCCACCGAGGCGCCACGCCCCGCGGGAGGGAAAACTGGAGTTGCTCCCGGGGTGTGGAGCAATTTGCCGTTTCTGTCTGTTGCAAATGAGTGGTGACACCTGCTGGGCGAGAACGCACCCTCAGAAAGTGGATTCAGGGTGAGCTGTAGGAGAGATTTTGTTTCTCCCCGGCCTGACAAAATAGTCTGCAAATGAATTGGCACAGAGCAGGGCTGTTCCTTAGGCCATTGGGGTAGCCTACCCCGGGTCTTCTGAGTAAATTCAGGTTGAGAGGTAAAAGGGAGCAACAGGTGGGAACACTCCCTAGACCCTGTGGAAGGAGAGGCATGCTGGCCCACCCTTGACTCTAGTGACACAAGGCAACAGGTGCTGGGAGCTTGTGTTCTGGAATGGATACCTCTGGAGGGGGTTTGTGTCAAGCAACTATTTCACCATCAGACCCTGGGCTGGACTCTGCATAGAGTGCTGATTGCAAAACACAGCCTCTGCCCTTGGGCACCTGCAGTGTATTTTGAAAATAAGAGTAAATGGATCTTTTTTTGGGGGGGATCCTTGTCCATCCTCATAGCTCCCCATCTTCCCCAACATAGTACTAGTAAAATTCACACTTATGCAAATTACTTTAAGGGCAATCTGCTGACCTTCCCCTCCAACCAGTGATGGTATTGTGCTGTGGACTGCTGAAAGAAGCAAGTGTGAAAGCGAGGGACATAGTTGCATGATCTGACATTGCCCTTTAGATTTTATCATGGCCAGCAGCTGTGGGATGTGTTGGGGTCAGTGGAATGAGAAACATGCAGGCCATATGGCAGAAAACCACATGAAAGGGAGACCAAAGGTGGCAAGGGACAACCAAGTTTCAAACAATTTACATGAGGCCTAAAAATGGATGTCAAGGCAGTAATTATACAACATAAATTTATGTGGACTGCTGAGATGACTCAGTGGATAAAGGCATTTGCCACAAGCCTGATGATCTGAGTTCAATACCTGGGACCCACATGGTGGAAGAAGAGGACCGACTTGAAAGCTGTTGAGTAGAAAATAATATAAGTGGGTTAATGGAATGTGGTTTGGAGAGACTAATCTTGGACCGATGTTGTCATGAACATGTTCCAGGGTGCTAAGAGAACGCTAGGAAGAATGCAGCTGCTGGGTGATCCAAATGCCTTGCAGAAGTGAGAAAGGAAGGAATATCAAAAAGGCAGAAGTGGATGGGCATTTAACTCAGTGGTAGAGTGCCTGCATAAAATGTGCAAGGCCTTGGGTTTGATTCCCAATGCTGCAAAGAAAAGTGCAGAAATGGTGTTTGCTACAGAGATCCTGAAGAAGAGGGACTTCGAAGGGGAGAGGTGGATGATGATCATATCAGCCATCACTGACTGGGCATGGCAGGGCAACCAAAACCATCCCAGGAAGTCATTTGGGTTTTCCATCCTTGATAACGTGTTTGATCTAAAAAATCCAGAGCCTGTGTCTGTGATAAGAAAAGAAGACCAGGATGCCCTGTATGGCTCAGTGGGCAAAAATGCTTGCAGTGCAAGCCTGACAACCTGAGTTTTATCCCCAGAACCCATGTGAAAAACCCATGTAATTCAAGAACCCATGTAATCCAAGATGGAAAGTGAAAATAGAACTGCCTGGAAGCTTCAAGCCCCAGCTAGGGGTACACAGCACAGCGGAAACAACAAGAGATATCTTGCTTAAAAAACAAGGTGAAGGAGAGAACTGACTCCTGAAAGTAGTCCTCTGACTTCCATGCATGTTGTGGCACATACATGGTTGCACTTACATATATATATCACATACACACATATAATAAATAAAAGAGAAAGTGGGGCTGGAGAGATGATTCAGCAGTTAAGAGCATTGACTGCTCTTGCAGAGGACCTGGGTTTGGTTCCCAGCACCCACATGGCAGCTAACAACCATCAGTAACTCCAGTTCCAGGGGCATCCAACACCCTCTTCTGACCTCCATGGGCATTGCAGGACATGGGTACACTAACACATATGCAAGCAATACACTCATACATATAAAGTTAAAACAATAGGACCCGCAGGCTTCTCTCTCAGGTAAGTCGATTGGGCCCTCCATGGCCTTGACTCCCCCAGCCTCACTCACCCTCCCATCTCCCCCACAGGTCCCTCCTCCTAGCCTAGGTCCTGTCCCATTTCTTGTCTTGGCGCCCCAGACACCTGGGGAACCACCACTGCTTCTTCCTGATCCTGCGCATCCAGAGCAACTCAGTTCCTTCTCAGGTCCCCAGGAGCACTGCATCTGGGCCTGGCCCCGCCCTCACCTCCCTCTGCTTCTCTGGGCCTGCAGGACCCACAGGCCTCTCCAGGGTAAGTCGATCTTGCCCTCTGTGCCTTGACTCCCCCAGCCTCACTCACCCTCCCATCTCCCCACCCGTCTCTTCTCCTAGCCTGGGTCCTGTCCCATTCCTTGTCTTGGCACCCCAGACAGCTGGGGAACCACCACTGCTTCCTGACCCTG